TAATCATAGATATTATGGCGAAGGATGTTGCACGAGGTGGATTCATCTAGTTACGCTTGACATTATGAATAAGTTGTGAAAAAGCAGCCAAGCCACTTCTATGAGACGGAAAGAGAATAAGAATAAAATAGATGCCACAAATACCTGGCTTTAGTCGAAGGTATGAAGACCAAGATTGTGTGGCCTTTTGTGTGGTTGCAGTCTCCTTTCATTGTATAGAGGGTGCTTTACCTTTTTTCACAACTTGGTCATATTGGTAGAAGGATTTAGAGGAATGCACCTAGTCCGGAGTCCATTGTATGCATGATCATTTCCAAAGTCGGACCGTGGACATGGAACATTCCCAGACGTTTCGCCGGCACCGTCATTGAGCCTCGCCATTCCTAGCACCCCACCAAACGTGTCATAGACAAGTGAAGCCGATTCCTTGACCAAACGTGTGTCAAACAGTTGTGGTATCTCCCATTCTACCCTGGGCTGTTCACATTTCCTATATCCACCTATCACGCCTTCACTGTTAACTTTTTACCGTGCTTATTTAAATATAGTGTGGTGTGCTCCTTTGAGCGGCATTCATGAAAACCATTCAAACTCCACGCTGTCGTTTTCACTCCTTCACTCTTGTGCTGGGAATGTTGATCAGAGTCTGGTATATTGTTACACATTCCTCTTTCTCTATGTCTTATCATAGTCTCTCTCTTGCCCCGTAAGATCGGTCTGCTATATACCTGGTTCTCGTATTTCATTCGACCCCTGCCACTCCATCTGTGCTACTCGGGGCGCTATTCGCCCTCCTCTGCTTCTGGGTGACTGATTCGAGGCTAAAGCCTCTGAGAAAGTCGCACCGTGATGCCTTTGCTACACGGAAAACGTCAATGACAAAACCTACTGTCAGCCAACTAAATCCAGTCTCCGCAGTATTTATCCTGTTTCTATCCGTAATAGCAAGTGTATGACTTGCTATGCCTTAGTCTCTTGTGTGCTAACCCACAAATATTGTGGTACTGCTTGCTTTGATTAGGTTCAATGTTGAACCACAACGTTTGTGGTTCAGTGTAGAGATTATAAATGGCAGATTTCAACTCGGATTTTATAAAAAAATCTGATCAGGAATGAGGACGACCAGAAGTGCATTTGCCTACCTCCGTCAGAACTGAGCCATCAATTGCGACCATTTCTAAGGAAATAAAAAATATCGAGGTGATAAATGAGGAGAAGAAAGCACTTTTCACCAGTCTGCCGACGCAACACGAGATGACGAACAAACTTGATTGTTCGGGAGTTTATCGCATTAAATGTGGCAACTGTGAGCAAAAGTATATTGGTGAAACAGGAAGAAAAATTGGCCAACGAATCAAGGAACATCAAAGACTCTACAGGAACATGGATACGAAAACATTCGAAATAGCGAAACACATTGCACGAACAGAGCACGAAATCGACTGGAAATCGACCGAAAGGTTGGCTGCATATGGTGAAAATACGAGAAAACGCAAGATCCGAGAAGCCATCGAGATACTGACCGAGAGAAACCTAATGAACAGGAGACTTGAAGGTGACAAGAACAGCGAAAACTATGCATATTGCCTAAACGAACTCAGAGAAGACCAGGCAACAGTAAGATCAGAAAAAAAGAAGACTATGCGATCATGGTAATATCCTTAATTTTAGGAAAATAGATCGCAGGAGGACAAGAAAAGAACAATCAGAAGCAAAGAGGAGACCTCAAAACAAGTAGAACCACGACAATTGTGGCTTGGCACACAAGAGACTAGGAAATAGGAAGTTATAGACATGATATTATGGATAGAAACAGGGTAGACTATTATTAGTCAACTAGCTCTAGCTTTCATTTTTTCTACTCTCTTTCTATCTATAATACCAAGTCTATGACTTCCTCTGCACTATTGTCTTGTGGGCCAACCCACAAACGTTGTGATTTAACATTGAACCTAATCAAAGCAAGCAGTATCACAACATTTGTCGGTTGGCACACAAGAGACTAAGACAGCAAGTCATAAGGTGATGAAGGACTGGTATTAGAATTTTCCCACAATGATACGAGTAGAGCTGACGTTTCGATTGAATTTAACATTGCCTTGCTTTCCAAAAAGTTGTTCTCATCCATGGTGAACGGCAGTTTCGACCTCGCATCG